ATGAGTGAGGGGAGAGTCAAAAAAATTCTAAGGAAATGTTGCTAAATCATATAGGAAAGAAAAGAGGGGTCTGAAAAACATGTATGCTCTTGCAGAAGAGTTGCTGTGAATCCTTTATGTTGTTCTTATGTCACTCTTACTCACTCACATGGATGTGCGGGAAAAAGAGAGCTCACATAAATAACAATGAAAGGGCTTTTCTTATTCAAGGACTATGTTTTCTTAAGGCATAATCATCAGATATGAAGGAAGGAGTGGAGCTAAGTGTCTTAAAGCCTCAGCATGTTGGGGAAATTTATAATTTTCAGTTCTCACTCATAGGTTTCTAATATCACCTCTCTCTCATCAGCCACCCATTCTCCCTCTGTCCTCCAAGATCCGCATATGTTTCTTCTCTTTTTGATATCTTCTTGGCCTTCCATTGCTGTGACCTTTTCAGACTGCTGGGACTCATTTCATTCCCTTCTCTTTCCATTGCCTCTTTCCTGAATGGCCTCTAATGGGCTTGCATCATCAAATGAGTCAGCTTCCCACAATTAAATGTCTAACTGCACTTAGGTTATCTCACTCAGAGTCACCATTGGCCTTCACTTTGATGTCAGAACTCAACAATCCCATGGTAATTAATTAGCTAATCCCCACCACATCTCCATGTAGGATGGGAGTACCATTAACTCAGTTTAAAGGTTGAATAAGTTGCATGGGGCCACACAAGTCTCTGGAAAGAGTCCCAAACAGAGCAGAGTTTCTGAAGGCAGTGGAAGAAAAAAGCAAGACCTGAGTATTTGTTGAGGAAATATTGAAGCATTTGCATTTACCTCACTGAAGTGTTGTCTAATTATATCTATTATTGCCAATGGCCAAAATCATTGGATATTTTTGCGTACAACTCTTGCATAAATAATTCATGTTTTCCACTGAAAACAAAGTTAAAAGCAGAGTCAAGAAAAACCAAAATTAATGGGAATTTGCTGTAACTGACGGTGAATGCAGCACAGAAATTATTAAATTATTATTAAATAAAAATCCTATCATTGAATAGGAGGGCAGACATTCATTCAGAAAGGCAGTAGTTTCCACACTAGGGTCATTAAATTATTAAATACAGTATTAACTTACATGGTTCATAGTCTAGTATCTAGAAAAATAATAGAAGATATATATATATATACATACATACAAACACACACACATGTAGTCTTTCAAGTTTTTGCAAGAGGAATCAACTTTATTTTATTTTGACTTTGATTTGATTTTAAATTTTTAAATTTTTAAATTTTTGATTGATTTATTTTTTGTTTTATTTGAGACTTGGTCTCTCTATCTTGCCCAGTTGGGAAGCATACCAGCCATTCACAGTCCTGATCCCAGTCCTGATCAACATGGAAACTTTAATCTGCTTTACCATGCCCCTACACAACTTGTCATATTTTATTTCTCCTTCACTTTATTAGTTGTATTTAGTGAGTGGGATGTAGGGGACATATTTCAAATGATGCACGGTTCTCCAAAAGAGCCAACAGTTCTCACCACGTGAGGAAAGTTGGCAGGCAGGAATAAGGGAAGATGTGGCTTAGAGGTTCACATGAGAAACTGAGATAAGAAGTGAATTTTCCATCCTAGGCTAGTTTACTTCTCCTGAGGCAGCCTGCTGCCCAATCCCTGCCTGAATCCTGAGTGCACATCATATTGGTGACAGTGAAGAAAACCTAACAGCTTTAGCCTTACTGTGGCTCAGAACTCCTGAACTCAAGAAAACCCACCAGCCTCAGCCTCAGCCTCCCTGGTTTCAGAGACTACAGGTATATACAACTGTCCCCAGTAAGAGTAACCAACTTTATAAAAAATACCACTAAGAAGGAGGTTCTGTGCCAAATTATGTGGAAATAAGAGGCAGAGCACAAGAGTCTTGTTTAGAAACATGTGAAACATGCAGGTTTTCTTATGCCAAAGGATTTTGACGGGCATTTGAACTAAAAGAAGAAATTGCCATTTTTCTAAGTGGTAATAATAAAGATGGAGTAAATTCACTTTACAATAAAAACTTCCTCCTGCAACTAGTATATTTGGTGGATTTAAAAAAAAATCTGATCTGTGATTTTATTGGGTGTAAAAATACTCTCGGAGGGAACTTCCTTTCCCAATTTAGGTCTGCGTCTTCTCTGCTAGTGTTGCCTAGGCAAACATAGCCCATGTGTGTCAGGGGCAGGACTTGAACCCAGGTCTATGTGACTCTGAGACCAGCTCTCTATTCACTATGCCATACTCCTGTATTTAGTGGATATATTTTCTTTCTTTACTTGTTTTTGTTTTAGCCAGACAATGGGGTTAAGTGACTTGCCCAGGGTCACACAGCCAGTAAGTGTTATGCGTCTGTGGCTGGATTTGAACTCAGGTTCTCCTGACTCCAGGGCTGGTGCTCTATCCACTGAACCATCTAGCTGCCCCATTTAGTGGATATTTTAAAAAGAAATATTAAAAAAAATAAATTAAGCGAAACTCACATTCAAAATAGATTCAAACTGAGATCTAGAAAGATAAAGTGACTGCATTTATGAAAAAGTTAAGAGTTACAAGTAATAAATTTACAAAATAATATTTTTATATGTTTCCCAATTTAAAAACTCCCTCCTCTGAAAATGAAAAAGGAGAAAGTAAAGACTTTAATTGTTTGACCAGACTACAGAAATGATTCTTGATTTGTCTTAAAGACCTATGTATGGATAAGAAACCTATGTGCCTTGGACAAATATGACACTTTTGGTGTCATTCCATCATAACAAATATGGTTGATAGGCTTGTCTCATGATCATATACTGAAGCAAGTGTTTGAATGCGAAAATCTGATTATGTTTTGGCAATGGGTGAAAAGAGAGTTCTCTTGATTAATAACAACAATAGCTAAAGTTTATATAATGCTTATTTTGTAATAGATACTTTACAATTATTATTCTCACAACAACACTGGGGAGTAGATGCTATTATTATCCCTATTTACAGATGAGGAAACTGAGGCAAAGTAACTTGCCCAAGATCACATGGCTAGTGTTGCCTATAAACATGCCCAAATGTCCCCATTCTGAAAAAAAAAAAAAGACAAAAACCCTAATCAGGCCCTGCAATCCCCTTAAGCTACTGTTCCATATTTTTCCTACCTTCTACAGTCAAATTCTTAGGTTCTTAGGAAAACCTGTTCACATTCATTGCCTCTGCTTTCTCTCCGCTCACTTGCTACTCAACACTTTGCAATGATCTCATCACTCAGCTGAAACTTACTAATGTTACCAATGATCCTCTTAATTGCCAAGTATGATGGCCTTTTCTCAATCCTTACCCTTCTTGACTTCTCTGCAGTGTTTTGTATTATTTATCACCTTCTCCTCTTGGATACTTTTTTGTCTGTCTGACCCTGGGAAAGTCCCAGTCTCTTAAGGCTCTAGGCAAAGACTACACATTGTAGAGAAGGTGCAGACCTGCATTGGTGGAGGGAATATTTCATCTGGGAGTTCAGTATTAATGAAAAGAAAGATCCAGTCCCAAGCCCTAGGTGTTTTGCACATACAATGAAGCTTCTTGAGAGCAGGCATGGTTTCTTTTTTAATCTTGGTATCTTCAGTGCCTAGTATATGGTCTGGCATAGAGTTGACATTTCTTTTTTCAATTCCAACAGTAGTTTATTATTAATTTTAGAGACAGCTAGATGGCACAAGTAGATAGAGGGCTGGGCCTGGAGTCAGGAAGACTTGAGTTCAGATCTGGCCTCAGACATTTACTAGCTGTGTGACCTAGGGTAAGTCAACCTCTGTCTGCCTCAGTTTCCTTAACTGCAAAATGGAGATTGTAATAGCGACTGCCTTGCAGGGTTTTGCAAGGCTTGAATGAGATAATAATTATAGAGGGCTTAAGAATGCCTGGCACATAGCAGGCACTTGATAAATGCTTATTCTTTTATTTCTAGACCTTGTCTACCTTTGTGACATGTTGTCACTTACATTATAGCACTCAATAAATGTATATTGATTGATTGGCTGATTGATTACTAGCCATTTGACTCTTGGCAAGTCACTGAAGCTAGTTGTACCTCAGACAACTCCATAGGGTAGGAGTTCTTAACATTTTTTTATGTCATGGTTCCCACTGGTGGTCTGGTAAAGCCTATAAACCCCTACATTTTTTAAATGTGTGAAATATATAGGACTACAAAGAAAACCAATTATATTGAATTGTAGCTATATATATATATATATATTTTCAAAGTTCATAGCCCTTCAGATTAAGAACCCCTGTGCTGAAGGCATATCTTTTTAGTCATAGATTGCTACTGGTCTCAGTGAAGGGAGTTCCCAAGCTGGGACTTCCCAGTGCTGAGGGAGTCCCAGAACCTTGGGTATAGTAAGGCAGAAATAGGCTTAGAAATATCAGACTACATGTCCTAAAGCTTACTTTTATTCCACTTGGCCATCTTTCCTCCAGCATCCCTGCAAATTTACGCTGAACAACTTTCTCTAGCCTTGAAGTAAACCTTTGTGCCCTTTAGAAGCACCCGGAACAACATGCCAACTGCGATGCCATGGGAGACTCCCAGGTTTATAATCTCTTGGGTAACACTCCTTCCTGCTGGCATCTTACCTTGGTTAAAGCCCACACGGTAATGCCATACGTCTGGGTGGGTGAATAGTAAACATATCTGTGAAGAACCAATATGCCAGCATTAATTCATAGTCTTTAATTAATACTCCTTGACTTGATTCACAATGCACTGCATGATGGTTGCTACTGAAACGCTCATAGTGTCACTTTGTTTTCAGGAGACATCACCCACTTGTTTTCCTTATACTTGGCTCCAGGAATTAGTAAATAGCTTTTGCCAGAGTGAAATGTGCTACCTCAAACAACTATTAGTAAGGAAACCCTATTCATAGCTCAGTGCATGGAAGTACTCTGTAGTCTTGTTATTGGAGTAGACCTTGATTAAATACTTTTTTCCTGTTTTTATCCAGCGTAAACAGACCTGGTTCCTTCTTTCATCAGCTACATTTTCCAGGCCTTTAATCATGTTTGCTGCTTTCTTCTGGATTCTTTCAACATTATCCCCTCCCCTTGTTGGAGTTGAGAGGCCCAACGCTTGGCGAGTTAACTTGACAAAAAGCAAACTCAGTCATAATCCAGGCCTGGTTGTATGCATGCCACATTCTCTAACCTCTTCCCCCTACTGGGAAAAATGACTCAGAATGTATGCCCTCTCTTTTTATATACAAATGATGTCCATCCCAAATGGAAAGTTTGTTTAATTTGTGATTCCTATGCAATGCATTTATAATAATAATTAATAATATCTAACATCTGCATAGGACCTTGTCCCAGGAACATTTAAAAAAACAGGTTGTGCTAATTTTTAAGAAAATGGTTTTATTGTCAAATTTATAAGAATATGAGTCATACCTCAATTGATAAATGGTCAAAGAATACAAACAGTTTTTCTATGAAGAAATCAAAACTATATTATATAATCATACAAAAAAGCTCTAAATCATTATTAATTAGAGAAATGCAAATTAAAACAACCTTGAGATATCATCTTACACCTATCAGGCTGGCTAAAGTGATAGATGTCCTTCAATTGGACAATGGCTAAACAAGCTGTGTATATGTGATTGTGATGAAATACCACTGTGATATAAAACCTGATTAATTGACTGATTTAGGAAAACATGAAAAGACTTAAACAAATGAAGGAAGATGCTATCTACCTCCAGAGAAAGAACTGATGAATAGAACTATGCATAGTATGGTGTTACACACACACACACACACACACACACACACACACACACACACGTGTGTGTTGATATGTGTGTATAAATATGTTTATGTTTGTAATTATATATGTAAATGTATATATATTCAAGTTCATTTGTAGCCTTCTCTAAGGAGAAGGATGGGAGAGAAGAGAAAAAATAAAATTGAACATGCGCAACAGAGAACAAAAGAAAACCTAGAAGCAAGTGCAGAAAAGCTAGGCAACTTTAAAAACAATGTGTAGTATTTATTGCATAGGTTTTCTTGAAATGGAAATTTGTTATTTTGTATTGAATCCTCTCTTATGTTCTGCTCTGTACATGGAAAGGTTTTTCTTTTCTCATTTTGTATTTAAGTTGTTTAAAAAAGAAAACGGCTTTGGTGAAGTTTTTTTTTTAAGTATGTTAAATAATCCTAAGAACTTCATCTCAATTCTGTGTAGTCCAGGTCCAAGATCCCCTAGAAAGACCTCCCCGAGTAAAAAGGTATCATAGCGACTTTGCTGAATGAGGAAGTTGGTGTAGGTATATGTTTTCATGGTTCTTAGGTGCTCATTCCCTTTACTTTTCCGTCAAGACTATTTTGGCAATAGAGAGGGTGAAAGAAGAGGCTTGCATTTGCTTGTCTGGTTGTGAGTAGGGGGCAGAAGAGCACAGACTGAGTCCTCTTTGCAGAACTGATCATGGAGCCACAGCAACACCTGCCATGTAGACTGGGTATTGGCCTGAAGTCTGAGAGGATGGGCCAGATCAGGGCAAAACTAGAAGCTTATGTTGCCAGATGGAGTTGACTTCTCACTATGAGCTTCTTTCCTCCTTTGCTTCCTTAGAGCAAGCTGAAAAAATTCTTTATCACTTTTTAAACTATCTACTCCCTTCTCTTTCTTTCTGTTCCTCCCAGACCAGTGGAGAAAAGAAGTGGGGCAAAACACACACACACACACACACACACACACACACACACACACACACGCAAACAACTTGCTTTTAAAAAGCATTTTAATGGTTTAAAAAAATTCTTATGCTATCTGACTGTGTTAATAAATCATGTGGCTACTAACGGTGACTTATTGAATCCTATGAATTGAAGGGGCTGAGACTGAGGGGGGTGATGGTGAAAGCAGCCCAAGAGAAAAATAGGGACTTGCGCTAAATGATAAAAGAGAGAGATTTTAGGTCGTATTCCAGACCATACCAAGTAGACTGATACTGAAGCTGGGGCAACTAGGAGAGATCAGGCCACCCTTTGGGGGCTAGACTTGATGGACGGTGGACTTCTTCCCTTGACTGAGTAATTGATAGACCATAGAACAAGCTGCTTTCTTTGGAATGGTGGAGGGAGAGCAAGGAGAAGGCAGAGCCAAGGGTGGTGGTAAATATCATCATGTGTACCTTTCCACCTTGTAGCTTGTTGGGTACTGTTGTCCATATCCTAGTAGATCTGATTTTGCTGTTAGTTTTGTTTAGAATTTTACTTATGTGAAGAAACCACAAATAAAAAAAAATAAACTTTGTTTTGGGAGCACTGAGCTTGGCTCCCAATTAAGTTAAATTCTAGTTAGAGATTAGAATTACTGACACCAGTTCTAAGACGTGGTTTTGGCCCATTAAACACAGTCTACTTAGTGCTGTTTACTCCTTTACTTTTGTAGGATTAATTTAAAAATTGGTCCATATGGCTGCTTGTAGTCCCCACAATCCTTTTCCTTAATCAATTAATGAACAAACTTTTATAAAGCACCTACTATGTGCCTGGAAGTATGCTAGGTGCTGGGGATATAAACACAAAAGAAAGGTACTCCTCAGAGGACTTGTATTGTTGTAGGGCAGGGTTTCTTAAACTGGGGACCAGTAACATTGTACACATTTGTGTGTGTGTGTGTGTGTGTGTGTGTGTGTGTGTATCCACACAAACATATAATCATATGTAATATATAATAACATATATTATCCTCATGGGCTATATATATATGTGTATGTATATAGATACATATGTATACACATACACATATGTTGTATTTTCATATAATTGGTTCCTTTGTAACCCTTTGTGTTTTACTGATGCATTTAAAAACATTTTTCAGCATAGACTGCTGAAAGGGTCTATGACACAAAAAAGATTAAGATTTCCACTATTAGGGGGATACACTATGTTCACAGGCAAATAAAATATAGTATTGGATTCCTTCTGGGCTACTCCCCAAAGAGGGAGATTGCTACCTTAAGGTTCCGTGAGTTGCCTGTTGGTCTATCCTTTCAAAACTGTAAGTTCATGAGTCCCTATCAGTGTGCTTTCCATTAACAATCAGCAAGTAAGCACAATTAGCTCTCAGCAAAGGGCATAGCAAGAAAAGTAGTAACAAAACCACCCCCACTCCCATAAACCTGTGGGCATACTCTCCTACGATATACACGGCATCCATGGGCTTGAACTTAGAATAGAGAGATAGTGAAGCACAGGGGTAGGATGCCCATGTGTCAAAGGCAGCTCACAATTCCTGGGGCTACAGGACCTGATAGTACTTTCTCTCTTCACAGAGTCTTCACAAAGCTCCCCTTGATTAGAGCATCTCTTCTGCGTAGCTGGGTTCCCAGGGTCTGCTCCTATCTACAATCCACATCTCTCCTCTGATGCTAGGTGCCATGCTCCCTAAAGCTGCTTCCTCTCTCAGATGACTATCTCTCTCCATACATTAATGTCTGAAGTTTGTGTATTTGTTCCCCAATAGATACAGTGTCTACTATTGGTCAAGAAGCACCTAGTCAAAGCTACATGACCAATATGGAGGGGAGGGGAGAGGAGGAGGAAATTTTTTCTCTCCCCTTTTGGTGGCTCTTCCATAACCAGCTCTGTGTTCTCCATCATTCTCACCCTAGACTCCAAAATTCATCTAGGGCTTAGCTATTTAAAGCCCCTAGAAGCATGGCTAATTTGTTTACTCAGCCAATTGGGTTGATTCCTTTTTGACTCAGAGAGGTACTTATATCTCATAAAGGGATCAGGACATTGATGCCACTGCATTGTTAGTGTAAGTTCACTAAATATCGTGTGTTTATACTCTGGGCTTTCTTTGACTACATCAACTGAAGTAGGGTGGGGTAAATTTTCTCCCTTATGATAAAGGATAGTCAGGGATGTTGTGAGGCTCAAATAAGATAATGGATGTAAATCACCTTGCAAACATTAAAGCACTATGTAAGTGCCAATTATTAATGTTCTTATTATTCTACAGTCACTAGGTCTCTAGTCCAGTGATAATTTTATTTCTTGAGCCTTCTATTGCATTTCTGCTGAGCTCAAGCAGTATTCAAAGAAGGGAATGGGATAAACATTTAATAAGCACCTGCTATGTACCAGGCACTGTGCTAAAATTTTTATAAATATTTCATTTGATCTTCACAATAGTTATCGCAAATAATCCCCATTTTACAGCTGAGGGAATGAAGACAGAAGTTAAGTGACTTGGCCAAGGTCATACAGCTAGTTTGAGACTGTATCTGAATTTAGGTCTTCCTGACCCCAGGCTATAGAACAATACAAGGACGTGCTGGTAAATGTGCGCACACTTTTAAGTTTCATGTGAATTTTTAACACTTTCTTAAGTCTAGACACTAAAAAACAATAAATCAAGTTCTGATTTGTAGCAATTGCTGCTTTCCAAGGTGTAAATGCTCACACTGAAAATTTTAACAATGGGCTCTCTAAGCAAGTTGCAGTTGGCTCTAGCACACCCCTGGAGGTATTAAAAATAAATACAAAATGTTTTTGTTTTGGAAGAGAGAAGGGCACTATAATTGGGGAAATCAGAAGGACATAGCTCTTAAGGTGAGCCTTAAAAGCAAGCAGGGTTCCAAGACAGGGAGGTAAAGAGGGAGACCATTTTAGTCGCAGGGGGCAATATGCGCAAAAGTGAGAGATGGGATGTTGCAAATGGAAAACAATGAATAGGACAAATTGGCTGGAGAGTGCATGACAATTGAAATATATAATCAGCCTAGAAAAATAGCCTAGAATCCAACTGCAAAGGGCTAAGGGCCACACAGGGAGCCAGGTGGCTCAGTGGATAGACTGTTGGGCCTGGAGTCAGGAAGACCTGAATTCAAATCCAGCCTCAGACACTTCCTAGCTGTGTGACCCTGGGCAAGTCACTTAACCCTGTTTGCCTTAATCCACTGAAGGAGGAAATGTCAAACCATGCCAGTATCTTTGCCAAGAAACCTGCACGGCCAATATTGGCATGTGTTTGTCCACAGGGTTAGGAGGAGATGGATACAACTGAACAACTAAACAACAACAAGAAGGACCACATGGAGGATTTGTATTTTACGCTAGAAGCAATAGGGAGCCAGTGAAGCTTCTGGAGAAGGGGAATGGCATGGGTCAGACTCATACTTTGAA